GTTACAAAGCATGAGGCCTGGCTTAGCTGCCAGTTTAGTCTTCCCAGCCTGGTTAAGCTTGTTTTCTCCTCTCTCAGGGAGTCCCATGCAGGGCCAGCGACAACTCATTCAGCAGCTGCCAGCTTCTGCTTTTAATCAACTTGGTTGCTTTCTTTTCTAATAATAGAAGGGGGCAGGAGTACACATAAAGTTTATCAGACTTTTATGTTAATTTATTTTTTTTTTTTATGTCAGAAGAGAGTACAATAATCAGACGACTCAGAGAGAGAAAACAGAACGGCAGGGTTGATTTACTGCCCACTGAGAGGAGACCATTCATAATTTTTTTTCTTAATTATGCTGACATTCGCAGTCCTAAAATAATTTGGTTTGTACTAAAGCAGAACATTTTGTAGCTTTTTTGTGAATGCCTGATTATTTCACTTTTTACCATGATTTCCTTGACTTGCAAGATCAGCATGTTTTAATTCTGATGTACTGTACAGAGCTGTGGTGTGTGCAATGATGGAGGTAAGTGAAGAAACGTGACAAGGGCAGCCATTTGTTTCTTGCCCGCAGCTGTGATCGGTTTAGCCAGCCAGACCAGAGAAATTGTGTGTGTGTGTGTGTGGTGTGTGTGGTGGTGTGTGTGGTGTGTTGTGTGTGTGTGTGTGTGTGTGTGTGTGTGTCTGTGGTTGTGGTGTGTGTGTGTGCGTGCGGGTGCGTGCGTGCGTGCGTGCGTGCGTGCGTGCGTGCCGTGCCGTGCGTGCGTGCGTGGTGCGTCTGCGTGCCGTGCGTGCGTGCGTGCGCTGCCGTGCGTGGTGTGCTTTCACTGGCGTCCAATGTGGTGCCAATGTGACTGCAGGATGGTCGCACCTTCACCTAATCATGACATCATGCGTTTCCACTGCGCGCCGTTGTCCATTCCTCCGCCGCGCTCGCTCCTCTGCTCTCCCCCCATCTCTACCATTCACTCTACTGACGCTGAACTTCCTGTCTCTTTGGGGGCAAAATGGGGGCCCGCGTCTGCAGCACACTCAAAATGTCCTGTATACCTCTTATTTTTCTAGTATTCTTTCTCTCCGTAACTATAAAGTCTGCCAAAGCAAAAGAGAAAATAACTGAAGTGGAAATGAGCGACAGAAAACTGAAAGTGCTGGTAGGTAGGAGGAAAGGGATTAGGGCCCTCGGAGCTGGTTGGTGTCTCTTACTGCCTGGCACAGCAAACACTGAGGCCCCCTGCAGCTCCACATGCCCACATCCCTCCAAAGCTTAGCACACACACAGCTGCTGACACTGGCATGTTATCACACTAACTGTATGCATCATATTTCACCTGCATTAAGCATCTGTAATTGCTTTTTTTAAATGCTGCAGACTTAGATATGTGCCTCTTTGTTTAGTATGTTAGCCTTATT